ACTACGATTTCACAACGGCTGTAATTGTCTCGTGACTTGCTGATTTACGTATTTAAAGTCGTTTTAATATAACGTACTCAACCCCCAACCTAGAAGCTGCACCACTATTAGCACGAATCTATATTATACGATATCCAAAGCATGGGTGTTAATTAATGCATTGATTTAATACAGAGTTCACTGTATTTAAAAACAAAAACAAAAAAATAAGTGCCCAACCATCAGTTACCTCTTGAAGAACAAGAGCGAAACTAGAAAACATAAAGGCGGGAATAGTTTTATACAGAAACTACTTATAACATGAAAACTTCGTCTTATCATTCTTAACCATTACATATTTTCTTGACTTTTTGTCACATCTCTAAATACATCTTATGTATAGACCACGTAAATACGCATTTTAAGTTTTATTGTTATCGTTTCACATTTAACTTCCCAAATGATCTTTCAAATACTAGACTTTAGGTCGTGTCAAAGAAAATACGTGTGAAAGTTTTGTTGACGTGTTTGTTTTTGAGGTATCGTGTCACTTAGGAAAGTAAAAGAAAAAAAGACTAAAAAAATAACAAGGAACACGAGTTGTGGCTAAATATACACATGTAAAGAAATTAAATGTAAACATTTGTCTTTAAATACATGAAAATAATAAAATAATCAAGATCTAATCATCCGTCTGTACTTAGAACTTCCCCCGTTAATAACAACTATGATTTCAAGTTATGTATCAGTGATAAAGTGATTCAAGTTAAGCTTAACGGTTATGATAATATGCATGTTGTTTTCTAAATAATATATTAACTATTTTTAAATATCAAAATATAATGATTATTTTTAATGAGTTCTGGTTAGAAAGAAAATCTACTTTCTAATTTCATAAATTTCATTACGTTTTCCAGATGTGAAATTATTTGTGTTACTTTTTAATAACTTTATTTTAGAGAACTGGAGAAATCCGTTCGATGCGTGGATGACCACAAAAAACGCTGTTTCAGCGACACTCAACGGCGAGTTTTTAATCAAGTTGTTGCGGGGGCCCGTCAATTCATTAAAGAACTGTGTGTTTCAAGTGAAGTTCAAAAAGGTCAGTGGTAAACGGTAAAAAAAATATAGTTTTAAGTTACTATGACTAACGGTTTGTTTTTTTCACATCTTGTTATTCTGTGCAAAATGTTACGAAACATTAGCTGGAAATCTGAGGTAAATAAGTAAATAACTTTAGAATAGCACCACAAAATTACACTATATTTAATGAGCACGGCTAAATTTTTATCAATCCAAATAATGAAGATTAATTTATTGCAATTGCAAGTTCTGACCAAAATATCTGAAAAACTTAAGACGTTTATGATAAATTTCAACTTGAATAAATGTAACTGATTTATAAATAGAAGAAACAAAGCAATATTAAATATCTGTACAAAAAAATTAAAGATTTTTGTACACAAATGATTTATTATTTTGGTTAGATTTTACTTTTTGCAATATTATTTGAGCTAATTCTGTATAGCTTTAGCTTCACCCTTTCGTTAAGTAATATTATGTCCTTGTTTTAAATTCAGAATACTTACGCCACGCTCTCTGTTTTCGAAACATCTCAGTGGCAGAGGACAAATGTGCACCAACATCTCGCCACACGTTGTGGCTGTCAGAAAACGTGAAAGAAAACGAAAACGTTGAAGAGAGTTTACGGAAAACCTGTTGGTTAGTTATTAAAATTTCTGTCCTTAAATAAGATTGTCATTATTTTATCAAAAACGGTTGTGAATCAACAAAAATTTAAAATACATCATTTGGCCATATTGTTAACTCGTTTTCGTTTTACGACTTTTGGGCATAGTTTAAATTCTATCCCTGAAAAATTGTAGCGAATCTTTATTTTTCATTTGTGAGGACAAATGTAGCAGAGGAAACGTGTGTTATTTTCAGATTAGTCAATATTTTATACTGCAAGCGTTTCTTTGAATGGGTAATATAAGTTTCATTTATGACGCGTGTCAATAGAACCTTTCGTTAATATAAGGCTACTATCGATAAACTGTATATATATCACTATTTATATAACATATATTTCTAATTATTGATGTTAAGGCTCATCTTAATTACCATCTGTGTAAGTACTGACTGAATAATTTGGATTCAAAAGTAAAGTCCTCAGCGTCTCTTCTATAAGCACATCTTTTCATTATAAGACTTACGAACATATCAAGAGTATCTTTAATTAAGCAGACGTTTACATGATCATTAATTGACTTATAGATAGATAGGTATATTAGGCTAGACAAGAAACGACGAAGTCATGATAAAGCTCTTTGGTGAACAATAGTTTATACTTGAACTTTATCTTTTTATATTTAAATAACAAAAGTTATCTTGTTGAAATGTGTAAATCTAGGTCTGTGCTGAATTTGAGCTAAACCTTAAAACAACTCAAAGGAGCTGCCATTTAGAGTTTTTGTAAACGAAAAATGCAGAAGTAAGAATAAAAACGCCGAGTTGATGAATGCGTTTCTATTTTTTCATTTTGTTTTTTAAGTTAGAAATGCATATTATGCATTCCTGCTTTAAACCTTTCACAACAGCAACGCTTGACGACTTTGAATATCTCGTTGGTTTAGTAGCTACAAAGCCTACTTATGTAGAAGACTGTCAATATCCAATTTACTTTCACAGATACAATTTAAACGAAACATTTAGATGCCATCTGTTCTTGTTGTCACGTTGATCCGCGATCACCATATAAGTGTCTAATTTGTTTGTAGTGAAGTTATATTCAAATCAGCTTATATATATATCTATGTTCATTCTTCTTTATTTGAATTAACATTTAAGACTCTTTTATAAAACATAAATACTGGTTTTCAATACTTTATTATACTTTTATAATCTTCTTAAAAATTTTTATGTTCGAAACTGAAAATATATAACATTTGTTAACCTCTCTTTTCATTTTGCTGTGTGGAACCACTACCAGGCAGAGAGAATATACCTGTACAGTAGTAAATTTGAGCTAATCTTCTGATCAGTTGCTACTAGGCATCTTGAAATAAACTATTAGCAGCTATGGTTTTTATCAAACCGGCGTATAGCCTGTCAAAAATGACGGTGCAAGACTACCACCCTCACCTCATAGTATATCCTAACCCCACAGTTAGGTAATTTCATAATTTCTTATCACACGGTAGTAACAGTTGGGCTCGTTGGGTCACCCGCTATTCAGAGGCTATGAAGAATTCAAG